CCATATGTGAAGTAGGTTGACTGCAGGCACAGTTTCAAGAGTTGACAGTTGTTCTGTGGAAAGCGTGGTCCTGCTGCTCAGAGTGGTGTCTGATTTTAATCAGGAATGAGGAAGTCTCTCGGATGAGAGACGAAACGTTTCTACATTTTTTGTTGTTTTGCTTTGTTTTGTTTTTTTGAATGTCCAGAGGACCAGATTTAACTTTTTTAGATTTTTCTACCTGGATTATTGAGCATGCATCAGGATATCCCAGTGTTTATATTGGCGCATAATGGGCCAAGTACAGCATCACAGAAACCGATTTGTCCCCAAACGCTTGTATCAGTCTAAAGTATCAGTCCTACCAATATATCGGTCGGGCTCCAGTTTTTCAGCTTAACCTATAATGAACACATGCATTTTAAATTAAAGTAAAAGTTAGCAAAAAAAAATTGTAAATTCTTGGTGATAGTTAATACTTGAAACCTGCAGGTTGGAGCATTATAATAAGACGTAAAAACAAATCCATCAGTTCATCTTTAGTTAAATTTAACTGCCAGACGGCTTCAGTCACTGAACTGAACTGAAACCATGTGATTTAAATTCTGCAGAATTGCTTTAAAGATGGCAGGGGAAAAAAAAAAAGTTAATTTATTGATCTGTATCATTTTTTCCAAGAGAAAATGTGAAATATTTCAGATTTTTACCGACTTTCTACACATAGGTTTACTCAAAATCAGCTGTTATTTATTCATGTTTTTGTTTGGATTGACTGCATTCTACGTGTTAAATACAGACTTTAAGACACGCCACTGTCTGCCTGCACTCTAGGGAAAGTTACCTGCTCGGATCACGGTGCCCCTCTCCGTCCTCAACCAGCCACTGAAGAACAAGAGCGTTGTGACGACACCGATTAAAGGAAGTCTTAACACAAAGTAAGTCTCTGTTGATATTAAATAACCCTAAATTAAGTTTAACTCCCGTGTTTGTTGATAAAATAGAGGATTTGTTTTCTCAGTCTTAGCAGTCTGGGCAGGAACATCATCTTGACCACCATGCCTGCTGGCACGAAGCTGATTGCGGGGAACAAACCGGTCAGTTTTGTCACGGCCCAACAGTTCCAGCAGCTTCAGCAGCAGGGACAAGCCACACAGGTCAGTGCACTTCACATTTTGGAACTGGGCCAACAATAAGGTGTCGTCTGCACAGCCAGCTTGCAATACCTGCTCTGTCAAGTTTTCTTGTTGGAGAGGATGTTGTGATCCTGCTTAGAAATACATAAGTACCTAAAGAGTTCTATTTTGACTTTTTTTTTTTTTTTTTTTTTTTTTAAGGTTCGGATCCAAACGGTTCAGACGCAGCAGCTCCAGCAGCACGTGGCGACAGGCTCCCCAAAGTCTGTTTCAGCGGTGGTCGTCACAACGGCTCCCTCCCAAAAAAATGCCCCTGATCCTCCACCTGCGCATCAGCAGTGAGCTTGTCTGTATCGTCGCTCCAATCTGGCTTTGCTCAGAACTCCCCGTTTTTGTTGCAACCTTAAATATGTTTGCAGTTTCATGCAGAATTAAAAAAAATCCAAGGAAAAGATGACTAAAATGGTCATTTCCTTCAGAATCTCAAGTGTTTACTGGTTGTTTCGTTAATATTTAAATGTCAGAATTGGTCATTTTTATTAAACCATTAATACAACCTTCAGTGCGATTGTTAGCTGGATGTGCGTTTCTTGTTTATAAAATGAATAAATGTAAATTTAGTGGAATATTGTCTGATTTAATATATTTTACAAGCTGTAATAAAAAACATGCTTCATGTCATATTCCTCTTTGGCTTTAAAAAAAATAAAATGATTCTAAACTTCATTTATTTTATTCTGTAAATCTAAAGCACATTGAGCTGAAATGGAAATCACATTTTTTCTATTAACAAATTTCAGTAAAAATAACCAAACGGTTATTGTCGTCACTCCTCATCGGACTGTTCCAGTAAACCTTTCTGAATGCTTGATTTGGACGACGCGTCTCTCATTCCAATCTCGATGTCTCTACCTTTCTTGGAGCATCTCGTCATGGTTCTGTTGGAACGAGACAAACGGCCTTTAGGAACATGCAAATCGTAATATATTGTACAATTAAATGTTCTTCATTAATGACAAATACACTTAGCATCAAGGTTTTGAGGATTTGTTCTTTAAATTGTTATTTTAGTACTACAGTAGTCCCTCGTTTATCGCAGAGGTTCCGTACCCTGCCGTCCCCCCATGATAAGTGAAAAACGGCGTAGTCCAAGTTCAGTAAACTTTGTCATGACGTGACAGGCTGCAATCACACATCACCTGATACTCCCAATCTTCCGCCTTAAATAAACAATTTAAATTTAAATACTGTAATATTTTAAATAAATAATCCTTGTTTATTTAAAATATTACAGTATTTAAATTGTAGAGAAGAGAAGTGCAGCAGGATATCGAAGTGTTAACCCTTCACGCACAGAACAGAAATGTACTTCTGGATCAATTACACTTCAACAACTGAACATAGAAGTTCTGAAATAATTAAAAATAACTTTAAATTTGTGATTTTGACAATTTTACAATGTGACATACTTTGAATTGTAAGTTGGAAGACAAGTCGATCGGTGCATCTGGACAGCAAAGAGTTAACCTTCACAAAGCTGCAGCAGGAGAAATGTGTGTGTGGCAGAGCTGCAGGAGGGAGCTTCCCCCTGCACTTGTGGGCTTCACACATGGTGCAAAATTATTTAAATTGTATTTTAAATAAACAACCCATGGCTCATCAATCAGCCAAATGTGTCATGTCCAATCTTATTTTGCGAATCTGTGAAAAACGAACCATGAAGTAGCGAGGGACTACTGTAATCTGAAAGAAACAAAGCTCTTGATCTATAAGGTTTAGACATTTGTGTGTAGTAAATATCTTACCTGTTGTAGATAGCTTTTGGTACAACCTCAGTTAATTTATGACTGGACTGACAAACTGCTAGTTCTTTCTGTGCATACAACAATTCAAATATTGAATCCAAAAAAGTTCAGTCTGGTCCTCTGGACATTAAAAAAAAAAAAGCAAAAAAAAAATATATAGAAACGTTTCGTCTCTCATCCAAGAGACTTCCTCAGTCTGAGGTGCTGTTTTCAGCTCAGTCTCTTAAATAGCACCTTCTCAGAGTGGATCAACCAGTTTGCTGCTGACAACCAAAACCAGCTGATCACATGCTCAAGAAGGACCATCAGCCTAACAATGGATCATTAGCACACTGATGGCTGTTTACTATTCACAGAGGGCTGAGTGATACTAGCAATCACAGCATTGTAAGAGGGGGACAATTGAACACGTAGGCCTCCACCCCTGTTTAACGATGGATGATTTCTTTTCACAAAGATGGCCTCCTTTACTCCTCTCTCAAACCATCGTTCCTCTCTGTCCAGGATGTGAACATCTTCATCCCTGAAAGAGTGACCGCTGGCCTGGAGATGAGTGTAGACCGCAGAGTCCTGGCCTGATGATGTTGATCTTCTGTGCTGGACCATCCTTTTGGCCAGTGGCTGTTTAGTTTCCCCGATGTAAGACTGATCACAGCCCTCCTGACACTGAACAGCATACACAACATTGCTCTGTTTGTGCCAGGGGACTGGATCTTTGGGATGAACCAGTCTTTGCCGTAATGTATTTTGGGATTTAAAAGCCACTGGGACGTTATGTTTAGAAAATAAACGTCTCAGTTTCTCTGATACCCCCTCAACATACGGAATGACCACTGGTCTGGGTCTGGGTTCCTCCTTTTCACCTGATGGCTGACTGGAGTCCTGTTTGGGTTTCTTCTCTGCTTTCAGGAAGGCCCAGTTAGGATATCCACATTGCTCTAGAGCCTGTTTTGTGTGGGATTTCTCCTTCTGCCTGGCTCCTGAGTTAGTGGGGATGCTGTCTGCTCTGTGATACGGAGTCCTGATGACTCCTAACTTGTGCTCCAAAGGGTGATGGGAGTCCAACTGCAAATACTGGTCTGTGTGGGTGGGTTTGCGGTACACCTCGGTTTGCAAATGTCCTCTATCAGAGACCGAGACCTCACAGTCCAAGAAAGCCAACTTGCCATTTTTTACATCTTCTCGTGTGAACTTGATGTATTTATCCACAGAGTTGATGTGG